ATACCTAAATCCTAATTGTAAGTACATTAAAATTAATGTAGGTATATTGGAATAGATAATTATGTACACTTTTCATACTAGGTAAATTATATTTTTCATAAAACAAATAGGTACATTATTTTTTCAACATAATTAGTATGTACAGTTTTATTCATAAACAATTATAAAGTGGATTATTAGTCATGTATAATTCATAAAAAGAAAATAACATAAACATTTTATTAAACAAACCAATTACCCAAATTTGAATTTATTGTTAAATTTTTTTTTAAATGTTCCAAAATTAATTCCTACATCCATTACAACCATTTGGAGATCTTTCCAAATTCAACATCTGTCATTATATACAATCCAATTAAAAACTGTTTCCATATTGATTCCTACATTAATATACAAAATGCAATAATGGCTTAGTTGGGGGTATTTTTGGAATCTGAAAAGTACAATAAATCAGATTTTATGTTTAATTAGGTAACTTGCTGAGTTGGATCCTAGTCATGGGTTTTTACTTATACAAATTGTGTATTATTTATAGGAACAAAAAGTGAAGGGTTTTAGGTATGACAAATTGAATTTGAAGGGTGTAAGCCAAATTTACTAAATTTTTTATCAAAGTCTTTTATCAAAGTCTTTAAAAGTGTGAATTGAATACAGCCCCTAATATCTTCAACATACTCTATTTGTTCTTAGATCCAAATGACTGAAATTTTGCTCAAGAAAGAAAGTTGCTCTTAAAAAATGCACATAAAAGCTCTCTCAATACATAAATCTTCAACATGAATTTTCTACTTCGACAAGTCATTCAATGCTACAATACATCTCACTTAGGATTCCTAAAAGCAATATTGATAACTAAATCCCCAAGGAGAAATGTCTTGCTGATGAATATGTCCTTGTTAATCGATTGGGCTTTTTTGCTTTCATTTTCAAGTCTTTGGCACCTCAGTCCACATCTCCCTACTTAGTAACCATTATCTAGTAAAAAGCTGATTTTGCAATATAACCAAGGTCAAGTTTTCATTCAAGAGCTCAAGCCTAAAAAATATTAGTCATAAAAAGAAAACCAAATTAAAGGCCTAATAACAACTAAGAATCTATAAGCAACGTGTACAACTCAGAATATGTTAAGCATTGTGCCCGACTCAGAATCAGTTATAACAAGAACTAAAAACTCCAATATGCTTAGCTAAGGTATGCTTAGCTAAAGTCGTAGCATGATGTTTCCCTCTTTTCTGAGGTGGCAGATGGAAGCACTTTGGGCTTTCTTCTTTTAGATTGTCTAGGCATGCTACCACAAAGCCATTGAATGACAAGTTTGGATTGTTGTGTTTGTGCTTCTCACTTCTAACCAGTCGATTGATAAACCAAGCAAGGAACCTTCTCTTGACCTAGGTCCTTTAACATCCTCGTGGTCAAGGATTTCTAGGATTTCTATCAACTTCTTGGTTGACATCAACTTCATTGATTACTTTTCTTCTAGGATTTCTATCATGTGCAAATAAGCCTTCGGAAGTTTTGAGTACAACTTCATGGGTTGGGCTTGGACTTCCGAGTGTGGATACTTGGTCTGATTGCTAGGAACATCGCACTCTTAGAGCTTCAGACTTGGTTGAAAATCCAACAGGGTG